TTCATTTAAAAGAGTCGATCATCAGATATTGTCCAAGATTAACCTTCAGGGTGGATATAGCTCGCTAACAGCCTCGCACCATCGTCATTTACCCAGAACGCTTTGTGTGTACATAAAATGGCTCTGTGTTAAAATATATATTTTTAAATTCACAAAACTAAACAGCCTACAGTATTTTTACAGTCTTTATTTTGCAGTTAAAATATGTTTATCAAATAAAGTTTAATGTTACAAATAATCAGGGATCCCTTTTAAGTTCTGGTTCAGGTTAGGGTTGAGAATAGACCAGTYATGGTTAATTTTAGTGAAAATATCTGGGTAAGGCATAAACAGTTTTACAAAAATGAAAGGAAGTCAATACAAAGTCCTCAGTTTGATGCAAGTACAATGGTGGGAGTGTGTGAGTGAATAAGATACTTTGTAAAGGGCTTTTCAGAACTTGAAGAGTTTAATAAGATTCTGTATAAGTTGTGGACCATGTGGCAAGTTAAGACCTTTCACTTCCAGTTTTGAAGAAACTATTTTGAGCTGAATATAACTGAATCTGTGCGGCTGTGCACTCTTTGGAGTAATTTGAGAGAAACCTTAAAGCAGTGAGGGACACACTGGGTGAAAACATTTTGTTTTTACAGCTTTAACTGTTTATATACCAACAAGACATGAGTATTTACATTTTTTAACAATTTAAGTTTAACATCGGCTATTAGTTGAACAGWTGAGGTAAAAATCTGTGAAATTCATCCAATTTAAACTAATAAAAAGTTTAAAGGTTTCCAAATATAAAGTCCAACTTTCTATGACCAGTTTAAACTTTGYAGTTCTGTAGCTCAGACTTCACAGTTGAAATATTAAACAGGGCTGGATATGTTTCACCAAAATCTCAGATTTGATTGATTAATTGATTGTGAATTTAGTTTAACCTACTTCRACCAAAACTCATAGCACGTTTCATTTGAGTGCATATTTAGGTGCTTAATTTGAATARTTTCATTTAGAGCTATATGACAAGATACAGGACAAAATCTCTACCAGTAATAATGGTGCTTTAATGTTTGTGCACCAGCACCTTTAAAAAAATTAAAGTGAAAGCAACTGAGCAAGATGATAAATACAAAACTAGTCAATACAATACTCAGTTYGTATTGCCGCATGACCTGTTCCCCCATGTTTTGTCACGTGTGTCTTCTTAAATGGTGTTCTTTGAAGGGATCCATGATTAGTTGTAACATTAGATTTTATTTAATAAACATACATTTTAACTGTAAAATAAAGACTGTAAAAATAC